TTCACCCCCTACAGAAAAGTCAATACAGATGTGTAACGTTACTTGTGTCAGGGTTTGAGAGAACCAGACCTGTGGTACTGTTACACAGCATGTCCTGTAATAAAAAATGAGGTTTATGCTTTCTTGCTCAGCACATCAACTCATTATTTATTATGCAATTTTCTTGATCTATTACAATTTAGAACTGACAGTTTCTGGGAACCTCTCATTTCTTATATGTAATGCAAATAAATATCACTTTTACTACCCCATATATAATTACAAATTGATTTTCAAGTTGGATCATTTAGCTTCACTTTTCATTGTCTAATGTGGCCTTATAATGCTAAATACTGAGTCTGTTGAGAAACTAGAGAGTAAAACAATTGATTTTTTAATATAATTGTCTGTGGTCAATTACCATAGAAGTGGGGGTGTGTGTATTTCCGCCTTGTAGGACAAACAGTAATTTCCATGAAGGAATCTGTAGAAGAATGGAGAGTAAGTCAAGTCCATTAACACTTCTGATGCCTCGAAGCAGATGTCTCTGTTTTTAACTCCTCCAGTTCTTCTGTGTATTTGACAAGGAGAGTTGGGCATTTTCAAAAGCCGACAAAGAGACATCCTGTCTGCCTAATTGGATAACTAAACTTTTGCCAAACATCTCCCAAGCCCCTTGGCCTCTAGGCTTTGCTGTAAATGATTCAGGGATCTTGGGCAGAATTGGGCATAAAGTTTATGTACAGGAGAACTGACAGCTCAGACAAATCTCCTTGGCCAGGTGTGTTTGGAGATCTGTGATCTCACATTCATCTGTCTCTTCCTTCTGATCAGCTTTTCTTCACTGGTACATTTTCATCAGCTTTTCTTCTTAAACTTAACCTGTGTTGCAGTGGTGACTCATCCCACTCTGCCCAGGCAGAGACCAGACTGGACCTACCTTCAGCCCTTCCTGATATTCCCAGTACTTTCCTCTGTGCTTCCTGGCACTGTGCACTGTGCCGCCCACACACCCTGGCACAGCTGATTTCAGATTGCTTTTTTTTTTATACCTCATTCATAGGTATGTGGTCAGAACGATGACCACATCATTCTGAGAAAATGCCCTGGGAAAGCAAAGTTATGCTCCGCTGCTGCAATGCTGCTACACTGTTTTATCTCTGACTCTTTGTAAATATTGTAGAGGGTTAAGGTTTAAGTAACTCAAACTTCATTATCTCTGCTAAGAGGTCTTTATCAGAAAGGTAACTAAATTCATGTGAGAGGAAATGAATTTCCTTGCAAAAATCCAATACATCCATTTTCACTGGGAATCAAAGAGGAAGAAGTAAAATCAAAGTGTTTCCAGATTGAGAGAAACAGTGACTGAAGGTTTTGGGAAATAAAGGTACTTGACAAAGGACACTGGCTTTTTGCTTTCTTACCCGTGGGGACTGAGCCTGTGTACGTCAAGCCACTTCTACAAGGTGCCAACAGCTGGGTGAAAGGGAATATGACAGCAGTCAACTACTCCTGTATGCCATTGGGTTGTGCATCTTTCCTTGGTGATGTTTTTATTTCTGATGCATATTGCAATAATTCTTCATTCTTATATATTTGCTATTAAAGATTTTGTAAAGCGTGATTGGAGACTATTCTAAAGCATTTGTGGCTACTAATGACCTGCTGACTGGTGCCTGGTACTTGAGACAATGTACTAATCAATATTTGCTTAAAAAGGAGTGTGGTTTGTAGTGTTTTTACTATTAGTTATAAGAAAACAGTTTTGTCTTGTCAAAATTAGAAGTAAAAAATACCTTTTTTTATCAATGTTGTCTTAGAAGAATTTATATTTAGCTTCTATTTTAAATTTATTAGAATCAAACCTGTACTCGATCATATCCAGTCTTGACTGCTTAATTGAAATCAGTGAGGCAGAACCTGAGCTGTTGTTCATTTATATTTCTTCACTTACATAATTTGGATTACAGTAACTGGTAGTATTTTGCCATCTGGATTTATCTACATCAAAACCCATTTTTCAGAATTCTTCAGGGCAGATTAAAAAAGAAAGAGGAACAATATCAATATTTAATGCCAATTAACTAAGGTCCGCAATTCTGCTCTAAACTTCTGTTTCATTTTCTCAGTAAACTCAGTTAATGTTGATGGGTGACATTTTTAAACCACGCACTGTTGATTTCTGTCAAATGTACTTTTTGTTCTACTAATTTCCCTTGAGCTACCCTTAGTTTTTTGAACCTAATTCTTTTCATTTGAAAATTGGCAGAAAGAGCTAAGTATTTTTTTATAACAGTTATGCCAAGTCCACTGGCCTAAATTCTTCACAAATGTAATTTGCCTGGCTTTGCAATCAGTTTAGTTTCCAGATGATTTGGCTCATCATAACTTTGAGGAAAACACATAATAGTGACAAGGTGCCCTGGCCAGATTAACTGAATGCTTTTTAAAAGTACACTTAGCCAATGAAGAAATAAACAAAGATCGGTGGGGTTGATTTGAAACCTTGTAACTTTTTGTCATGGAATCTTGCATTTGAAGTCATTTTCATTTCAATTTACAGGCAAGGTTTTTCACCTGCATAAATCTGTTTTAACTGTTTATTCATGAACTAATTAATCTGTCAGTCACAGGATAGGTTATAATCTTCACAATCTTTGTTTTATTTTAACTATGTTACAGATTTACTGGCCTCCAGCAAAAGAAAAGGTAGAATTATGCAAATTAGCTGGGAAAGATGCCCAGGTAAGTATGATGTATATTTTTTATTATTGCTGAGATTTATTAATATCTGTGTGTTTGTTAGTAAATGCACAAAATGCATTAGTAAGGTCGTGTTACACTTCTTCTGAACTAAGTGTTTTTTCTTAATTAAAAAAAATTACATTTCTATTGTTTCTTAAATATTAATATTTTTAAAAATTCAATATTGCATCAATATTTCCTTTGATGTAATAAATGCAGCTGGGAGACAAATGGACTTACCTCAGAAATGTCTACCAGGCAATACTTCCATGAAATCTTCTCTTTTCACATTAAAATGCTTATTTTTTTCTTGGGACTGTCCTGAATGTAACTTCATTATAATTCATTAAAGAAACAGAGTAGTAAAGAAGCAGTGTACAAATCAACTTAACTTGCAGACTGCTTGAGTTAGGGTTAAAAGAAAATTTCAGACTCAATGGCTTTTCTGTGGAACCACAAATTTTCTTTAGGAAGTATATTTAAGGTACATACGTGTATACAATACAACTTTTATATGTTTTGCTTACCACAGATTACATCATGTGTCTAGAGCCTACTATGAATGTAAACATTTTCTGGCTCTAAAATAATTTTTTTTCATTTTGTCTCAGAAAAAATGTCCTAATTTCTATCCAGCATGTCAGTTACCAAGGTAGATTGCAGCTCAAAACACTCTCAGCTCTCTGCCTGAAGAATTTCAACTTTTTATTCTAACTTGTTGCTACCATTGTCTTTACAGCAGTCAAAACCTAAACACCACCTTTGCTGAGCACAGGAAATTTTCTTATAGGGGTGTATATGGAAGATTTGTTCTGTTTCTATACTAAAAGAAGATTGAAAGGGTCCTGGGAAGGAAATACTTGTTTTGGACTCTCACTTAGGTGTAGGGTGATATCTAGAAAGTATGAACAGATTCTTTGTATTCCCTCGAAATACTTGGGGTTTTTTTCTGTATTAATTTCATTTTGGGGAAAGCTAGAGCAAGCCTTGTCCTCCAGCCCATGTATCATCCTTGGAGCACACAGCATCTGCCCAGCAAGGACCAAGCCCAGCTAGAGCCAGGACAGCTCATTGGACTCAGAAATAACCAAATAAGAGTCACCAGTAAGATGTGGCTGGTGCGGAGACAAAGCATACCCACTGAAGTGCGCTGAAGCCTTTCAGCGCACCACAGTTACTTTAATCATGTAATCTTTGGTGTTAAAGCACCCTGAGCTGGGAAGCAAAGGCAGGAGGATTGGTAGCCAGACAAACCCAGTGGCTCTGCGACCTCTGCCCAGCTGTTGGCAGGTGTTGTTTGCCAGGACACAGGCTGAACAGATACCCTCCAAACTGTGCTGTGAGCACACAGCTTCTTGTGGCTGTAAGCATTACAGCAGAATTAGGTTTGCATGTCTGATTGATGAACTGCCTGGTAGATAGCTGCTATCAAATTGTAGTTGTCACAGCTTTGAACTGCTTCGTAAACAGTCCCTGCTACAGTAGTTTTAAGTACACCAGTGCTGTGGCTGTAATTTAGTAGAATGTATAACGTGGAAAAAAAGAATAAACATGAAAATTAACCTTTATCTTTCTTTTTCCAACAGACAGATTTTGCCAATTTTATCTGTGTTCTCCAGCCTTACAACTGGACTCATGTTTATAACTGTGGCACAGGAGCATTTCACCCTCTGTGTGGATACATTGAACTTGGAACTCACTAAGAAGTAATTTAACTTTCTCACTAGTGTGACATGTTAGCCCTCATCTTGTTTAGCGTTCATCATAGATTGGAAAATTGTCGGAATCTGTGGGTATTGATGATTCCGAGATTGTAGAAAGTCTCTGTTTTTCTGCCCCGTTGCCAAAGAAGAAGCCATAATTCGTCTGTGCTGTTTTCAAGGTTGTTTATTCTTGCTTATCTCTAACATGTTCTGCTGCCCTGCCGCAGGTCTGTCCTGCAGGGCAGTGTGCGGGGCTCTGCCCCCAGTGGGATGTTACAAACATTAAATACCAGAAACTACGTGTGCTATATTTACAATAATGTGCCAATATCTGTCACCTACGTTAAACAGTGTGTCCCCAGCCTAAACCAACAGAAAAATGCCAACACTGCAGTGAAACATGGAAGGCATGAAGAAGGAGGAAAAGGACAAGACACACCCAATTTCCTCCATCTTGTCCCCTTTGAACCCCTAATCTAGAAACCTAAAATTTTACTTTTGCACTCGTGCCACACTTAATTATTACTCGTATCAAACACTCAGAGCTTGTAATTCATCCTGTAGGATTGAAAACTCTTTTCCATGGACAGAGATCACAGACAGTGTCTCTCGGGGCTCTGTACAGGGGGGTTCCTGACCCCTGCCAGGGTCCCAGACCTGCCAGGGCAGCCAGAGGGAAGCCCTGGATTCCCACACTGTGGAGCTTCTGTCTTCCTCTGTCTCTCCTTCCTCTCCTTCTAATGCTCTTCATATGGAATATTTTTGGGTACCTGAACAACTTAAGTCTTTAAACCTTTCCAGACTAAATGGGCTGAGTGAATGAAGTTACTCCTATGACAAGGGATTTAAACTGGATTGGGTTTGTATTAAATGCTTTTCGAAAGTTTCTTGTTCTTTTGTACTTTGCCAGTGAAATTTTGGGGGTCCTGAATAGGCGCTGAGGGGTACTTGGGGATCCCGGAGGGTCTTGGGGACACTTGTGGGACAGATGGGGGCGGATACCGAGGGTCTGTGGTGCGCGGGGCATGATGGGTGTTGTAGTCCCGGCTTTAATGGGGCTCTATGGGGCCGCAGAGCATGACGGGAGTTGTAGGCAAAAGAAAAGATGGCGCAGGCTCCAGGCACCACCCCCAAAGCCATGATCCCTGGCGCTGATTGGTTGGCAGCTGTGATGGGCGGGAGCCTCAGCAAATGGGAGGCAGCAGAGGCGGGAACAGCCCATTCAACCCCTCCAGTCTCTCCCATTACAGCCCAGTACATCCCCCGTGCCCCTCCAATCCCTCCCAGCACAGCCCAGTTCATCCCCAGTACAGCCCAGTACAGCCCCAGTGCCCTTAAAATCCCTCCCAGTACAGCCGAGTTCATCCTCAGTACAGCCCGGTACAGCCCCAATGCCCTTAAAATCCCTCCCAGTACAGCCCAGTTCATCCCCAGTACAGCCCAGGACAACCCCTGTGCGGCTTTCGGGGGTCACTTGCGGCTGTCCCCCGTCCCTCCCCGGCCCCCCGGGACCCCTCCGGCTAGCTGTCCCCTCAGGGAACCGGGGTTTGCCGTGGTCCCGCTGCACTGGGCTCACCAGGCAGCGGCTGGGTTAGCACGGTCCGAGCGGCGGTGCGCCTCGGTCGCCGCAAGGAGTCGAGATAAAGAGACGAAGAGAGGTCAGTTGTGTGCAGTCCAGAGAGATTGTATTGCCTGAACAGTTGCAGGGACAAAAGACCCTGGGCTACTGCCCAGATACAGTTTTATACAGCAAAATTAAGAGATAAGGTCTAAACAATAGAGACAGTGTTCAGCATGGGCCCATCAGAACCACCCCAGGGGTCAGGTCCAATGGGAACTGCTCAGGGGTGGGGAGAAGGGGGTTTACATAAAGATGCTGAAGCGAAACTTTCCCGAAACAATGGGGCATACATAAATGTATCTTTTCCTCATACCTAAATGTATCTTTTCCTCAGTTTCCAATTCCCAAGGCCTTTCTAAATCCCTTCCTCCACACTACCACACCAGCGCGATAGCAACACCCCTGTGCCACTCCAGTCCTTCCCAGCACAGCCCAGTTCATCCCTAGTACAGCCCAGTACAGCCCCAGTGCCCCTCCAATCCATCCCAGTACAGCCCAGTCCCTCCCAAGACACATGAGTTCATTCCCAGGCCCTCCCAGTTCCCCCCAGTGCCATCCATATTCCGCTCCAGTGTCCCCCAGTTATCCCCACAGCGTTCCCGCCCATTGTGGGGCAGCGGCACAGACGGAATGTCCTGCGGCCCAAATCCCTGCTCCTGCCACACAGTGCCCAGCCTTCTCCCCCTCCTCCTCCTCTCCCAGCAAGGTACAAATTCCAGCTCGGAGGAGGCTTCCCCAGAGAGGGCTCCTGCTCCAGCCTGAGTGTCCCTGCAGAGGAACAGGGCATCTTTCAGGCACTTCCACAAGCTCAGGGTTCTTACTTCATGGGGAATCTGGGATGAAAATGGCCTTGTTAGGAAGGACAAAAGCGGAGGGAATGGGTTGGAAATTATTAGTAAAAATGTTCCATTGTACAGGGAAAGTTCACGAAATCATTCCCTGCTTTTTTCCTTTTCAGATTCTTTCAGCCAACCACTGAGAGGACCAGCTTGTTCTCGTGCTTTTCATGCACTGATTGTACTCTTGATTTATATCAGTGCTTGAGATGTGGAAGCTTCTAAACTGAACACAGAAACAAACTCCCTCTGTCAGCCCATTTTCATCTTCTACATCACTTTCAAGATGTCCATGGGCATGTTGGAACGATTATCACACTGCTCTCCAGTTCTGGCTGCAGGCTCGGGAGATTCTTTCTCTGCATTCCCTGACAATTCCTGGGAGCCCGTCATGGTTTCTTAGGCTAGAGCAATAACAGTGAAAATCTCACCAATGGCACAACTGCCCAGCCCACAAGGAAAAGAAAGAACAAGCTATAAAGTTCTTCAAATATTTGTCCCACTTTTCTGCAAGAGTCGAGCTGCACACACGGTGTGGGAAGCCAAGAGAAGCTGCAGCTGGTGGCACATCTTGTGACAGAAACTGCTCAAAGCTTCCTCATTCTCCAGCAAAGGTTCTTGGAAAGAGCAAACAGGATTGTGGAGAAGATTCTGGGAAAACTGAAATAGTTTTTAAGAAATGAAATGAAAATGGAAAGAAATAATCCAAGATGTTTTTCTCTGTTTATTTTTATGCTCCCCTTTTCCATCTTACACTACTTCCCCATCCCATTAATTGCAAATGGATCTCACTTCTAAGATCCACAATTTGGCAAGTTTTAGACACTCTAAAATAGCATGAGCTACACACATTTTACCTTCCCCTGTTTTGTTTGTTTTTTTTTTTTTTTAATTTTGGAAATCAATGATGGATAGGTAAGTGCAGTTCTTGGGTCAGGTACAAATTCAGCATTCAGGGAATGCGCTCCGATAGTGTTTGACCCTCAGCAGGGACAGTGCACAGCAGCGCCCGAGGGGATTCCTGTGTCCCTGGGCAGGAGTCCAGACTCTGGGTCTGGGCTGAACATGGCAAAGTTCTCGTGTTTGGACAGGCTCAGGGGCTGCCCGAGGAGCACGGGGCTGGGCGCGGGGGCGAGCAGGCAGCGGACACACGGACACGGGGACACACGGACACAGGGACACACGGACACGGGGACACAGCGACACGGGGACACACGGACACGGGGACACACGGACACGGGGACACAGCGACACGGGGACACAGTGACATGGGGACACATGGACATGGGGACACACGGACACGGGGACACACGGACACAGGGACACAGCGACATGGGTACATAAAGACACGGGGACACACGGACACGGGGACACACGGACACGGGGACACAGAGACACGGGGACACAGCGACATGGGGACACACGGACATGGGGACACACGGACACAGGGACACACAGACACGGGGACACACGGACACGGAGCTTCAGCTGCAGCGGCAGCAGTGGCAACGAAAGCAGCGAAAGCACCTACTCTAAATTCCCTCTTGCATCTCCTCTCCCTCTCCCGCTGTCCCGCGCTCTCTCCCGCTCTCTCTCCCGCTCTCTCTCACCCGCTGTCTCTCTCCTCTTCCGCTCTCCCTCTCCGCCTGCCCGGCCGGGCCATGCCCCCGGCCCGCCCCCGGCCCCGGGCGGGGCTGCCCCGTCCCCGCCCCCGCCCGCCCCACCGCGGTCTCGCCTCCGCCCGGCTCTGGGCGTGCTGGTGGTGGCGCTGCCAGGCGGGCATCAGTGCCTGGGGCTGGGGCGGCATCGCCGCCCTTTGGCTCCGCCTGGCCTGAGCCCGGCCCCGGCCCCGGCTCCATAGTCCCAGCTGAACCCCTGAATCTCCGCAGGTACGCCTGGATCTCCACTATTCATTCTTCATTTCTTTTTGGCTGGAAGTGTGCAGTTGCACTTTCTTCCACCTCTAGAAGTGCCATGAGTGGCCAAAGCTGGCAAGTGAGCCGTGTTCCTGAGGCAGTGCAGTCTGGAGCTGATGGATGGAGAATTGCCCTTCCCACTTCCAAACCAGAGCAAAAAGCCGTAAGTGGGATTTTTCATCCGTAAGAAACCCCTGACAATTTCAGAGGGAATGTGCAGCTCATTCCCAGAGTGAGAAGGAAGGTCATCTTCCAAAGGATTTGGGGTTTGACAGAGTTGAGATTCCCAGTCCTGCCTGGAGCTGGAAGGACCCCAATCAATTTCCTATTGCTTCGACCACAATTTAAAATAAGAATGTTGGAAACAAACCCCAAAAACTGTAAAAAAGGCTGTTGAGGTCAGTAAGATGGATCCATGCCATCAGCACATTTACAATGTATATAACTGAGTTCTCTTTTTAAAAAGATCAGTTACCTCTTAATGCAAAGTTACAGAAGTTGTTTCACTAACACTTGGATTTTATTTGTATCTTTTACAATTCATCTAATTGTATTTTTTTTCTTTTTCCTTTTTTTTTTCTTTAAGCAGAGGTCCTGGCCCTCTTCCAGCCAAAAGGGAAAGGGCCCCACCAAGCCTTGTTACCCACAGACAACATGGTAAAGCTGAACACTAAAGGACCTTGGGGGCATTATTCTGGAATTAAAAAGTTGCCAGCTCCATGGACAACAGAATTATTGTTCCTAACCTGAATGACATTGAGCAAAAAGAATGAAGAATGGTGTCACTAAAGTACTACTGACGTTTGCCAAAACACCTCCAGAGTTTCACCAAGGGATCAGTCATCAAAATGTTTTGGAAATTTAAAGACCAAGGTAGCCAAAGCACACAGTGTCACTAATTGCTGGGTATGTTCTCAGCTGAAGTTGGGAGGAATGGGGTTCCCTTGGAGGGCCCACCCTGTGGGGTGGCCAGAACTCTGTCAATGGGCTCTGCCTCGTAACGGAGTCAATGAAGGGACAGTTACAGAAACCTGTGCTGTGGGACACGGGAATACAACGATCAGTGTGACAGGATTCACTCAGATTTCCCCTCAGGAGAAACCAAACCCTGTTACAGTTATAGAGGCTACAGTGTCAGAAGATTTCTGTGCTTTACCATCACTCCCAATGTCAGTAGAACTTGGGGTGCTGCAGCTGGTCAGTGTCAGTGTCACACCGCTCCCAGCTGCAGGGCCCCCATTTAGGGTCCTTCAGCAACGACCACACGGAAGACTTAGGGCCCAGAGAACATTTTCCACCCAAAGAGTGCCTTGGGTTTCTGAAAGCAAAGGATTCTGGTTCACCCTGTGCCCCATCCCGTGGAGTTGACATGAATGAGCTGAATGGATTATTAGAAGAGGTAGTAAATGATACTCTTAAAATGTCCAATAGTGCATTGGATTATTAGAAGAGGTAGTAAATGATACTGTTGAAATGCCCATTAGCACAATCTATGAGCTCCAACAAACACAAATGGGGACTCCAGAGAACCGCATGGCCTTGGATTATCTGCTTGCTGGCCAAGGAGGAACCTGGGCTATCAGGGGACGGGGATGTTGCACTGCTAGCAGTGATGGGTTTGAAGGCCAACAGTCAGGAATCACCTTGACAGAAAGAGCAGTAGAAGAGTGGCAGAAAGAAGAAAATTCTTCTTGGTGGGATTGGCTTCATGGCTGCCAAATTAGAGGCTGCTGTGAAATGCATTCGTGGCAGGACCTGTCATCATTGCAGTGTGTGCACTTGGTGAGTTGCTGTGACACTTTGTGCTGGGAAGTGGAGTATTGGGACCTTTCTTAAAAGAGACAGTCTCAAGAAAAGAGAGGCATTTGATAAATAACAGAGAATAGCAACTATTTAGGCATGTTTTAAAAGGAATGTGAATAGCTCTGAGTAATGAACCTTAACTGCACTTAATTGTAGAACAAAAGGAGATGCCTTTATGCCTAATACCTAAATCTAAGCTGTGTTACTGAAAGAATTATTACAAAGGTTGTAGTTGATTGTAGGTCTCAGGACCGATCAAAGTACCAAGGCCTGAACAGGTTGTGATCAAGGCCTGAACAGGCCCTGAGGCAAAGCTCACCACTAGATGAACCTTCCAAGCAAATGTTGTATTTGTATCCACTCATTAAGGAAGCATGATTAACAACAGGATCAATGCATGTGTTCCTTGATAAAACATGGATTTATCTTTCTGTATTTAGAAACAGACAAGGCCCCATCTGGCCTTGTTTGGGGGTGAAGGATCAAAGTCAACTCCCTTGGTTCCTCCTTCGGCCCTGGCCAGGCTTTGGGAGAAAGCAGTCAGGAGAATGAAAGCAGATGTTCTCGCAGTGGCAGTGATGCCAGCTTGTTTGTTTAACAGTGTAAAAGCTGGGTCCTCTCACAGCTTTGGGGTTGGAGCCTCATTGCCTGCAGAGGTGGAGGCACCTGCAGGAATTCCCAGTGTCTGGGAGTGGCTCTCCAGTCCTTGGCTTCCCCCAGCTGATGTTTGGCTGTGGATAATGGTAAAGCCTGAGGCTAACTGGTGATGGATCTTTCCTTAATCACTCCAGGCAATCTCTGGTAGCAATGACTGGATGCATTGCTGAGCTTCTTTTGTAATGCTTTGCTAATGATGATGTGCTTTGCTGAGCTTATCCTTTTGTAATTCTTTGACGCTGTGCATGATATAAATGACACAATTCCTTCAGTTGGTGTCTGTGTCTTTGGTGCTGACCCTGCCCACTGGTGAAACAGGGCCCCCTCCAGCCTAGAGTGTTACCTAGGAAGAGAAAAGCCATCACTCCAAATGTCCCCCCTTCCTCCTTGTTCCCCCCACTTTATACTCTGAGCGTGATGCCTGCCCTATGGTCTGGGGTATCCCCGGGGTCAGTGGGGGTCACCTGTCCTGGCTGTGTCCCCTCCCAAGCTCCCCCGCAGCCCCAGCCCCTCTCCAGTGTGGCCAGAGGAGGGGCAGGCCAGGCTTTGGCTCAGTGGGAGCTCAGCAAGAACAAAAGCATCTCTGTGTGCCCAGCCCTGTGCTCAGCACCTGGCCCAGCAGCGTCTCAGTGCCAGGGTCTGTGCCATCAGTCCCTGCCAGGGGTTTCCATGGCACCTGCCAGGCCAGGTGACCCAGGTGTGGTGTCCCAGTGAGGGCTGCCATGCAAACAGTGCCCAGCACTGCCCCTTTCTGTCTGCCTGACCTGGCCTTGGCCCTGGCCCTGCTGTTTGCTGCAGGTTCCGCGGCGCCTGACCGGCCCGCGCGGCACAGGGCAGGCGGCCACGGCACAGACCCACAGCAAGGGCTCCCCTCTGGCTCTGGGCAGTGACACCAGCCCTGAGCAATGGGCTGGCGTAGTGGGGTCAGTGCAGTGTCCATGGCAGCAGTCCCTTGCAATGCCCAGTGCAGGTTGGGATGATGATCCACCCTCACAGCCGGCCCAGGGCAGGTGTGCGGTGCCCTTCCCCACAGCCTGTCTGCACAGAAGCACTTCCAGGGCTCTCTGCATTTCCCTTCCTTCACTCTGGAGTCACTCACACACCTCCCAGTGGCCCACTGGGAGCTTTGAGCTGCAAGGAGTGCAAAGCTGGTCTGTCCTTCAGGAATGGCTCTCATTCTGCCCTGAGCCAACTCTGGATTTGTGTTCATTGCAGATCTTCCAGTGTGTCTACATCATTCCTTGCAGGGCTCTGCCTTGGGGAAGGGGAACCTCCTTGGATGTACCTAGGGCTTGGCACACACTTGAGGAGTGTGTCTGTTTTAAATGGGGAAGCTTAGGAGTTTTAGATTGCTTCAAAAAATAAAAGAAAACCCCTCTTTGCCTGAGCGCAGCCAGTTCTCCAAGCACAGCAGGTCCCAGGTGACTGAGCAGAGACAGGACGGGCTTGGGCTATGTGGGGCAAGGTTGTCCACACTGCCTCAGACCTCCAGGCACAGCTTCTCTGACTAGGCCAGACATCCTCAGTAGAGTCCCTGGGCCAATATCAGTCGCTGAATGCTGCAGTCACCTCTGCTGTAAATAGAACAGTCATAAAATATACTCTTCAAAGAGGAATGTGGATTTATTGGAAGCTCTTGCAAATAGTTTTCCATCAGTATTGTAGGAAACCTCCTGACAAAGAATCTCCAGGGACTAATTCCAGCAGATAATTGCAGGCCATGATTGCACAAACCTCTTAGGACCCCAAGGCAAAAGCCCAAGTCCTTTGAAAAACCTGCCATCCCTGGGAGCATGAAGGAGGGCCCAGGGCCATTCCTGACCAAGGCTCCCCAGGGCCTCTTCCCAGCAGCTCCCTGAGGCCAGGAGTGCAGGGAGGCAGAGGCTCTGTGTAGGCAGCTCAGCTGCTGAGCAGAGCCTGGGCTGGCTGGAGGCAGCAGAAAGGCCAAGGCCTGAGCCCCAGCCCCAGGGAAGGCAGATCCTGTCCCTCCCCGCCTGCTCAGGGCTCTGCCGGGAGCACTGGCATAGGGAGGGATGCTGAGGGCAGGACAAGGGATGACAGTGCCCAGCCTGGCTGGGGCTGTGCCAGGAGGCCCCAGTGCCTCAGGACAAGGTGTCTCCTCCTCACAGCCCTTGGTGGCAAGACGCTGCCGTGCCCCAGGGAACCAAGGCTTGGCTTCTCCTGGCCACTGCCAGCCTTGCCAGGGCCCTTGGCCATGTCCAGCACAGCTTGTCCTGCGCTGTCCCACAGCTGCTGCTGTGTCCCTGCAGGCTGCACACTCCCATCTCGCTGCCCCCCGGGCC